ATAGTCTATTAGTCAACGATTTCGATGCATAAATACCCTCCAATTTTTCCCATAGACCATTTGGTGTAAACTCAATGAGCACGCTGTGTTTTATCTCTGGAGCTAAAGCCAATCTGATTGTACTAACAACTTTCCTCTGAATTCTATTCCATTCTCTATCAGACATCTTCTCTGGCTTACTCTTCTTTGATGCCTGATTAAGACCTTGTTGTACCAAAAGGTCTTGTATCGTACTTTGCCATAACATAAAATTAATTTTACCATCAAATAAATGAATCTCAAACTTAGACATACCTCCAAAAAATTTGAGTTGCTTGATAGTCACTGATCTACTTTTAAATCCAACCTCCTCTCGAGCTTGCTTTCTCTTAGATCACGAACCATGGGCTCTGATACCACTTGTTGAAAAAAGATTCCCACAACTCAAACACAAAATTAAGGCAAGCAACTAAAAATAAAGAAAACCAAAACACAAGAATTTTAAAGTGGTTCGACCCAATCAATTTAACCTACGTCCACTATCCACTCGAATAATCTACTAAGTAAAAGCTTACAACTATACAATTTTTAGAAGAGAAAAAATTGCAAACTCCTTACACTATCCCAAAAAGCCCAATTACGCCTTTAATAATAGCCTACAATGACTATTCTTTTGGTGTCTATCTTACACTTTTTGAGATACTTTAAAAGTCTAATCTACAAGTCTATTTAAAGGGGAGAGTCCCCTTGCAATCCCCTTTCCCAAGCAATATGTGATTCAAGGCACAATCCCAACACATACTGCTTCAAGTTTGCCAGCACATTCTCCAGCTTCAAACTGGCTGATGATTCTCCCATGTAAAAGTTTCAATCTGCATATTTTAAGATTAAAAAAAAAAAAACAACAAACATAAAACACAATTAAATCAATACAACACTTGAACTCGTTAACAAAAAACAAGACATTTACAAATACACTAATGATATATGCTTCTGGGAACTAAAATGCAGACTTTTGTATTTGGCTGTATAAATTTGTTGGTTGACTTTCTATTACTTGAATGAGGTAGTCAACTTTGTCTTGCAAAGTTCTCTCTGCCCTATTGCATCAGAACTCTCCACATTCCCATGTGTTGGTGGTTGGTCTTCTTTATCCCTTTCACTAAGAACAACATAATCAATCAAATGTTGAATATCGTGTTTCTGCATTTGCACATCTGACTCTTGGAAACGAACAGAATGTCTAACACTAATGTTAACAGGGCGTTTCCCTTTCTCCAAGGATTGATTTGTGTTTTCCATGCTATCAACATTAACGAAACAAAAACAAAACATAAATGTATTAAGAAACAAATTTCAATAAAACAAACACTTGCAAACAAAAAAAAAAAAACAACCCATTAAGAGGTTAAAAACTAAAAATCTTAGATACATATAATTTCAATCAAAACCGAAAACATAAATTATATTTGCTTCTAAATATAAAAAACTACAATCAATCTTCCAAAACTATAGAAGCCCAAACACATACTTAATCCACACTCTCAAAATGCAATGCCTGTCGAACAAATTATAAAATATATCATAAAAGACAGTTTAATAATTGAAATTAAAAGGAAAAACAAAAGAAACTATTAAAAGGGAGGTTAATTATAGAGATGTTGTTTTCTCAGTTAAAAAAGCTTTAACACAAACACCACAGTCGTAATCAAACGAAGTAGCAGCAATACAACAACACTAAGCAGACAATGAGATACAAATGATGAAAGCAAAATTAAAAAAAAAAAAAAAAAAAAAACCTAATTAAATAGTAGCCGAATTTGAAATAAAACCAGCCAGACTGTTTATTAAAAATCAATAAACCGGCTCACAAAAAATTAAAATTTAATATTAACCCTAAATAAACTATAACCAAATTTTCAAGCAAAAATTCGAAACACTTGGTTTAACATTAATTGTCCAATTTAGAAAACAATACAAATTAAAATTATTTACGTGCATTAAATTGGTGTACATGGAAATGTAATATTTATTTTAAATTACTATTCTTAATTTCTTTATTGTCCAATTCTAAAAACATTACAATTTAATATTACTTATTTAGATTAAATAGGTATACATAGACATATAGACATGTAATATTTATATCAAATTACAATTCGTAATTTCTTTATTATTTATTACTTTTAATTATTAATTGAACATTAAATTAAATACTATAACAAATCTTTTATAATCCATTATTTTACTCAATCTTATGATACTTTATTGATTGTATAATTTCAAAAAAACATTGCAATTTAATATTACTTATTTGGATTAAATAGGTATACATGGACATGTAATATTAATATCAAATTACAATTCCTAATTTCTTTATTATTTATTACTTTTAATTATTAATTAAACATTATATAAAATACTATAACAAATTTTTTCTAACATATTATTTTACTCAATCTTATGATACTTTGTACATTGTATAAATTTTATAAGCAACCTGCGCAACGCACAGAGTATCCATATAAATAGCTACTCACTATCCTAAACTAGGAAACTTTGAAACCATGTCAAATTGAGAGGGCAAGAGAGACAATTTGAATAAAGCTGGAGTATACCCGAGAGATATCTTTGAGAGGGTAAAAGAGACAACAGAAAGGTTAGAGTATACCCGAGAGATATCTTTAGATGAATTCAAATCTGGCTTTCTTCAAGTTGCCTCTCTTGCCCTCTCAATTCTGATAGACATCATAGTTAAGGTTCGCTTAAAAATAACCATTAATAAACTCCAAGGGTTGGTCTGACGGTCAAGAAGGTTTGTTCCCTTCATTGACTTCCTAGGTTTGAACCTTGGGGCCACTTACTATATTTGTAACTTACCTTGGAACATTAGGTTTGTAGGGTATTCAATAGACCCTAGAGATTAGTCGAGGTATGTACAAGCTAACGATGACATCCCAATCATTAAAAAAAAAAAAAAAATCAATAGAATGGTAGCTTGAAAAATATATGATTATTTCTTAAGCTTTAAACTCCCACATACACAATTTTGGATGTAAAAATTATTTTAACTCACGTTACAATTATACAACAAAACACATTACAAACTTATAATTAAAAACATATAAATATAAATAAAAACCACAAAATAATCAAAATTCATCTATACAAATCCAAATTTAAGTGAGGGAGAGTGAGATGTGCTAGGTTAAAGACCAGAGGGTCTGGAGTTCGAGTTGTACCAAGTGAGTGGCCAAATAATTACCATACCCAAAAAAAAAAAAAGACAAAAAGAAATCCAATTTCACAATTAATCACTATAAGTCAGTTACGAATCCATATCATAACATCAAAATCTTTCATTAAACAAATCAATCTCTAGATCACATTTTCATTTAACTAACTCCATTGAATAAATTCCTTAAATCGAAACATATAAACACAAATCATTCTTTTAGAAGTTATCTACCTCCACAACCACCAGCAACAAGCCAACCCATCGCAAAAGCCACTTACGATCGTGTGAAGCACACCTACCAACAACAAAATTTCATCTCTTCACAAATCCAACGATCCATCAGAATTTAAATTTGTACGTGGTTACCACAGATTAGGGTTATTAGATTTGGATTTTCATGTTTAGATTTATATATATTAGATAAAGGGTTGTGATACTGTGACTTAAAATTCTGACACTCCTTATAAACCATTTATCCTTATTAATATAATGGTATTGTTAATTTTAACGTTTGAATATTAAAATGAGAATAGCATTGATAGTTTATGCAACACGATTTTCATACGGATTTGTGCCCGGATCTCCTTCTTTGTCTGTTAGAATATATACCTTCCTGCCTACTTCACCATAAAAAGGGTATCATTACTTCTATGAGAGGTGACAAATTGTTGCTTTGCCAAAGATAGTATGAGAAAATGTGAATTAGCGCTGCTATGAGATTTGCATACTATACATGACATAACACATTAATATGCTCTTTTTTTTTTTTAATGATCGAGGTGTCCGAATCAGTTTGTACACAACTCAATTAATTTTCTAGACTCATTGAATAACTTATAATCACAATGTTTCAGAGTAAGTTATAAAATATGATAGATAACCCCAAAGTGGTTCTAACCCAAGAAGTCAATAAAGGAAACAAACCTTCTTCACGGTAAAGGCAACCCTTAGGCATTTTGTATAAGACCACCACTTTCATGCATTACATTAGAGAAGCTAAAGATGAAACCTTCTTGCTCAATAAAGTTTGAGTCAACATAATTCTTAGATTCCATACCTGAGTAGTCCAAAAATTATTGGAAAAAAAAAAATTGGGGCTGTCTCACATGCTTTCATGACACAGCATTTTTCAGTAAGAGAAAATGAGAGTTATTGATTCTAAATTTTGATGTTTGAGAGTTGAGAGTTAAACCAATGACTTTAGAAAATAGTAATTTAATAGCCCATTGATGGGTAATTCATATTTCATAAACAAAAAAAAAAATTATAATTATATAAAGAGAAAATCAAGACAAAGGAGAAAAGTCATAAGTCAGATGACTCCTGGCAAATGGGACCCAGTTAAAAAAGACGAACCAAGAACATCACATTACTTAACTCTTCCAAAATAACTTTACTAGTATTAACAAGATTTGGTGATGATCGTGATCAAGATTTTGGACAATAACAATAGAAGCTGTGTCTGAATCATGGACTGTGTCGTGTCCAAATCCAAAACAAAACCAAAAGTGAAATTTAATTTAAGAATCTTCTTTTCATATCTTTCCCAGAAACCCGAAGAACAAAAAAAGACACCTAAGCAAGTGTTTTCTTTTTTCTTTTGGTTTTTAATTTTCTTACTTTTTTATGTTGATTTTGTTGTTGGATTCTTAATTTAACCCCGAATCTAGGGAACAAAAAAAAATGTAAAAGATAATTTGTTTCTATTACAATTAATAAATATTTAATTTGAGGTTTTATTTTGTCAAAACGATCACACGGGTTATTTTGTTTTTGGAAATCAATGTGTGTTTTTGTTTTTGTTTTTGTTTTTGTTTTGACGTGATTGGGTGTGAGTTTAAGAAACTGTAGTGAAAACTGACACAAAAAATAGTCTGATTGATTTAATAAGCACAGCATTTTCTTTTAAAGTTTATTTTGTTTTAATTATTTAATGCGAGACTTTGATTTTGTGGTTTGATTTATATTTTTTATTTATTATTTTTTAGTTGTAAGAGCGTGAGGAGATTTTTATTTGGACGAATAGGTTTAGAAAAAGATATGTCCTTTCGGGTTTACTTGAGATTTCTTTATTAGCATAGACCTAATGCACACTTAGGGTTTCTTTAATTTTACTCCTCGCTCTTTCTCGATTTTGGTCGTTTTGAGGGATTTTATTCTCTTTTCTGGTGATTTTGCCTGTTTGGGTGGCTTGATTTCTTGCTTTCTCATCTGCGTCGCTCTTCAACTTTGTGAGCCTTGACTGTTTAGTTTTAGGGATTTCGAAGTTTTTGGTGACGAAAAGTTCGTGTTTTTGTTTGGAATTCTTACTCCAGAGAGTTTTTTTCTCTGGATTTTAGCAACAGGGGTCCTGGATTTGTGGCAAATCTTAGGGTTTTGATTTAATTTGACAGTTTGGTGTTCGTTTTGTTGCTGCAAAGCTCTGGGTTTGTTGTTGAAGATCCTTTTTTAATCTCACTTGACGGTGTGGTTATGTATGCATGATGTTTCATGCACAAGGTTCTTCAAGGAATCATTGTAGTTTGCTTGCAGTTCTCAGCAGAAAATTTGCCGATAACAAGCAAAAACGAGCAGCCTCTGATGAAAAGCCCAAGTACCCGTTTCCAGAACTCTCTTCATCTGGTCGACTTGAGGTGTAAATTATATTAATTTGGCTCTAAGTTTAGTTTTATGATTTTTTTTTTTGTTCACCAGGGTTTAACATTATTGTCCTTCTTTGTCTTTGACTGCAGGTTCAAGTTTTGAGTAATCCTAGTACTGATGAATTCAGGCGGCTTCTTGAATCATCAGAGCCTAATATTGTGTATTTGCAAGGGGGGCAGATTGATGATAGTGAAGAAATCGGGTCTTTGGTCTGGGGAGATGTTGACTTGTCCACTCCAGAAGCCTTATGTGGGCTGTTCGGTTCCACATTGCCTACCACTGTGAGTTATTCATCATTTTATGATTGTCGGTTGTAATGTATGTTGATGATTGGGTGTATTCCATTAGTGGCTTGAAACTATGAAATTCGGATCTGCTTCTGAAGTTGTGATATTTAATGTACTTACTAACTAGGCGCTAAAAAAGTGGACGATTTAATTTGCTAGTGGTCTTCTTCTTGTATGTCTGTGTATGACGTCTAATGGCTACTTGGTTGGTGTTGTTTTACGTGGTTTAACCTTTGCTCTCATCTTTTCTAAGTCAAAGCTAAGTCTCTAGCTCTCAACTAATCTGTGATGGGCTGAGCTTCTAATTATCCATCAAAAGGATGAAGATTTAAGAAAAGAGAGAAAATATGTTGTCAAATGGCATAGGGTCAAAAGGACTATTTAGTTGAAGAAAGAACTGTGGGACTGACCATTTTTGTTAAGAGTTAGTTTTTTTATCCAAAAGTGATTCTTCTTGTTTAACATCTCAAACAAGTTTTGGATAATATGTTTTGTAGTTTTTAGTCTGAGGAGGCCATTCAGATCAGTGTAGTTTTCTAGAGCGATTCTTTGTTCTAAAAATTATTAGTGCTACTCTTCTTTTCTAATTCATTTCCGTGTTTTGGATCTAGTACTGGCTTCTTTATAGTGTTTGCATCTATTATTGATGGCCTGGCCCATTTATTAATCTTCTTAATCTACTCAAATATTCGTGCAGGTTTATTTAGAGATTCCAAATGGTGAAAAATTGGCAGAGGCACTTCATTCAAAGGTTGCAGAGATTGTCGGCTATTTTATTTTGTTTTATTTTTAAATTTTTGCTGCATAGATATTTGGCAATGAAATTATTGTTGATCCTGGAATTCAAGTTTTACTTGGAAGAAGGGAATCTGCAGTATATATATTTTTAAGCTCTTTTATGCCAAAGTTGTTCACTCTGGTGTTTTTAATCTTGCAGGGAGTTCCTTATGTTATATATTGGAAACATTCATTTTCGTGCTATGCAGCTTGTCATTTTCGTCAGGCACTTTTATCGGTGGTGCAAAGGTTTGATCTTCTATTCTACCTTATTTTTATCTAGTTATGTTTCTAATTGTAACAAACAATTTTAACGAGTCATGTACTTTTCATTGAAAACTAACATGATAGGATTCTATGCCCTTTCCCTATGGACATCTTTTGAGATTTATTTATGTAGATGCTGGACAATATTTTGTGGTAAAGCTATTTAGCATGTCTCCTTATAATGAGTATCAAAGACAATGTTCTGGAATTTTTTTTCTTTGCAGTTCGTGCAGCCATACATGGGATGCATTCCAACTTGCCCATGCATCTTTTCGGATGTATTGTGTACAAATCAGCAATGACGTGCCTTCTAATAGCCAGAAAGTTAGTAGTAAGCTGGGACCATATTTGCTTGGGGACCCTCCCAAGATCGATATTGCTCTGCCTGAGGTAGATGTGCAGGGGGAAGAAGATTCTCCTGAGAATCTTCCTTCTATAAAGATATATGATGATGATGTGACCATGAGATTTCTTGTTTGTGGAATTCCATGTACATTGGTAGGTTTTATTTATTTAATCTTCAGATCTACTTGCTCTTTGATTGGTGAATCACCAGTACTATTTTCTTAGTATGTTCTGTTGATAAACTATACTCTTCACAGGATGAATGCATATTGGGATCTTTGGAGGATGGACTAAACGCTCTTTTAAACATTGAAGTAAGTTAGATGCAAGACTTTTATTTAAAATTATTTATTACACCTCAATTTCATGTTGTAGAGTTGATTTGTTTGAGCCTTCCACAGTACATAAATTCTAGTGTTACAAAGAGTTTCTTTGGCCGGTCTCTTTGCAAACAATCCTCCGCTCCCTAAAATTATAATAACTTCGCTTTGCTCTGTAAAACTCTGAAGATAGGGCTGGACTCTTGTAGGTCCAGGTCAAAGTTGGATTCTGATAAAATTTTTATTATCAAATTGGGAGCTGAAGTCCATACCCAAAGTGGAATTGATAATAAGCATACAGTGACTCCTTTTATGAAAGTATGTCATTCATAGTGTTAGAGATAATATTTGACATCAATTTTATTTTTATTCTAATGTACCTACACTTTCCTTTAATCCTCAGGCATGTCCGCCCAATCAATGACCAGCCTTTCTGTTTTAACCTAGCCAATTAAGTTGGTAACCTTTAATTACAATAATATAATATTAAGTTAATGCAGTTACAGTATCATTTGTACTTCATACGCCAAGTCCATGAGGACAGGGAAATCAGCTAACCTAAAATGCAAGTGCCAGCGGCTATTAGCCGGATACCTACATCACTAGTGTCATGTGAATAAAATTATCAAAATGACATTGGCAATTTGTGAATGAGCTAAAGGCTCCTACATGTTTTTAATACTAAAGCATATCAGTTAGACGAATTCTTCAATTTCACTGATTTATTTTGGATTCTATCATTGTTATTCTTGTTTCAGGATTACCATTTCCAACCTAGTTATTCTGTTTTTGTTTTCTACAGTTGTTCATTTTGTCTATATATGTGTGTTTTCTATTTGTAACTCCTTTTTCTTTCCTCTTTTTCCCCTGGTGATGTGTCTGCAGGTACGAGGAAGTAAACTCCATAATCGGACAAGGTACATAATGATCATGTGCCAAAACATGTTATTTTCCACTTCTTTTTCTTATACTGTGACTTGTATTTGAGTTAGTGACTTCTTAAAATGTACTTATTTGGAGATCGCATCTTCTCCAGTGTAATGGGTATCTTTTTGGTCTCAATGGTCTGCTAATCATTTGAACTCATTGTTTGCAGTGCTCCACCACCGCCACTTCAGGCTGGAACATTTTCTCGTGGTGTAGTTACCATGAGATGTGATTTATCAACCTGTAGTTCTGCCCACATATCACTTCTAGTGTCTGGGAGTGCACAGACTTGTTTTAATGATCAGGCAAGGATTAATTATGTTTACAAGATTTGACTGCTGTTTGAGTTTTAGATCTCTAATTCATATGTCTGACACTTTTGGGTTTGTTTCTCAGCTTTTGGAAAACCATGTAAAGAATGAGATTATTGAGAATTGTCAGCTAGCTCATGCATTGCCAAGATCTGAGGAAAGCAAACCGCCTTCATCTGAGCCTCGAAAATCTGCCTCAATAGCCTGTGGGGCAAGTGTTTTTGAAGTTTGCATGAAGGTTCCCACATGGGCTTCACAGGTTAAGATTTCTCTAGCCTTCTGACTTCCAATTTATCTGTCTTTTTTTTTTTTTTTAAATTTCTGTTTCCTGTTTCTAGAGTTCCTAGTGGCTTGCTGGTGATAGACATTAGTATTTGTTTGGTTGACACTATTTTGCATATCTGACGCAATGAATATTAATATCTTGTTAATTTCCGATCCAAAACTTGTGTGCATGGTATCCCCAGAGTAGGGATTTTGATTTTTCTTATGATGTGCCGCAGAGAAATGGATTAAGGGTTACTTGAGAATGATTGATTCAATGACAGCAAGCTTCGTGTCAGCTTGATTCAAAACTTGTTTAAGCTTCTCCTGGTACTTTATTTTTGTTTGATATTAGTGGAGGGAATTCTAAACTTTGAAGTGCTTATAAGATAAAAAAATTAGTTCTGATTTATTGTAGCAATAGACTTTTGACTAGAGGGACTAGTAAACAGTTTCAATTAAGGTTTGCTATGCTATACCCAGAGACTCTTTATAATCCAATTTTATATTTGCCATGAGGTCAATATCCTCTATGCTTATGGCTTTTTATTGTGGTATGCATTCACAGGTTTTAAGGCAACTGGCACCAGATTTATCTTATCGCAGCTTAGTTATGCTGGGAATTGCTAGCATTCAAGGGTTATCTGTTGCTTCATTTGAAAAAGATGATGCTGAGCGCCTGCTTTTCTTTTGTACAAGACAGGGAAAAGAACTGCATACCGAAAATTCTATTCTCACTAGGCCTCCTAGTTGGTTAACACCTCCTGCACCTAGTCGTAAAAGGTCTGACTGTTGCAGAGAAACTAAAGGCCTTGAAGCTGAAAATGGAGGTAATGTTAGACCAAAAGTGAATGCTGCTGCAATGAGGCCGATCCCTCATACTCGTCGTCATAAGATGCTTCCTTTTTCGGGATTTTCTGAGGCTGAAAGATATGATGGTGAACCAGCAAAGCCTATCTTGCCAGTGGCCCCAGTGAAACATGGTGCTGTGGGTCCTACTCCTGTGACACATAGGAAATCGTCGACTTCTTATCAGGCTCAACAGATTATTTCATTGAATCCACTACCCCTTAAGAAACATGGTTGTGGTAGAGCCCCAATACAAGCTTGCTCAGAGGTTGGTATTTCTGACTTTTCAGACGTGGTTTGGGATTTGCTCATGATGTTAGTATTTAGAGTGTTCTTAAATTTCTCAATAGGGCTTTTTTTTTCTTCTTCTTTCTTCTTTTTTCTTTTCTTAATCTTTTGGGATTGGGGTATTATTGTTAAGATGGAGAATATTGGGCAACAATTTAGCAAGCGAGGGCCTTCAAGAGTCTTATTTTCATACAACTCAACTTTTATTGTTTTGCTTACTCGATTCTATCATCTGATAGTATCCTAAGAAATTGTTTTATGTTTTCCTACTAATCAGTTGGTCGGGAATTAGCTACTTCCATTATGTATCTTTGTATTGTTACTTGTTACCAAATATTTTATTTATTTATGTTTGAAATTAAGTCTTTAATATGCAAAATTTATTAGTCTTAATTAACTGGCAAGAATATCTTCTTAACGATCATCTGACTGGTATGGGCCATAGGTTGGATTGGCTTTAAATTATGATTGGAGGGGGGTTTTAGTACTGTGGGCTCATCAGGTTTAGCCTTTTTTATTTTTGGGCATGTATCTTCCACAAAAAAAAAAAAAAAAAATAGAAAAAAGATTTTTAATGTCAATTTTATGTGCCAGGACTCTAGCTCAAGTGCCTCTTTATAACAAGGAACAGAAATTTTCTTTTTTTGGTTGATTAAACTTTTCTTATAATGCTTGTATTCTGGCAGGAGGAATTTTTGAGGGATGTAATGCAATTTTTAATTCTTCGTGGGCATACTCGTCTTGTTCCTCAAGGCGGGTTAGCGGAGTTTCCTGATGCCATTCTCAATGCTAAACGTCTTGACCTTTTCAACTTGTATAGAGAGGTATGCTCTTTGATGTGCTTAATATGATTTAATAGTTAGTAGAAATCAATATTGAGATATTGGGTCCTTCAGGTGGTTTCAAGGGGAGGCTTTCATGTTGGAAATGGCATCAACTGGAAAGGACAAGTTTTCTCAAAGATGCGCAATCATACTTTGACTAATAGAATGACTGTATGGTTTCTCATGTCTAAATCGTATTCTTTTCTTGTTATTGGTTTTATGTTGCTCTATATGAAAATGCATTATCAAGGGAAAAAAGAAAAAAGAAAGCCATATTTATCTGAGAGTAAAGAAAAGATATGAGATATGTTCAAGTTCAGAAGTCTGAACCTGAACTATATAGTCCATGAACTCTTCTTACACGTTTGCTATATGCATTTGTGATGTGAAACTATTTTGTTGGAAACTATTGAAAGTATTTTGGTTTGTTCTGATACTTGGTTTACGTCCAACTTATTTTCATTTGACTTGAACTTCTCTGGCTGTTTAATCCTTCACTATGTCTTCATACTACATTATTCATTTATGGGCTGTCTTAATTTTGGTTTGATGAGTTCATGCTTTTTTTTCTTTGGTAAATAGTTACTAATGTCTTATATCATTCTAATAATCCTTGAAAGTTTGATAACTTCAAGATGTGCAATAATATGCTTATCAAACAGGAAATTATGCCACACCTTTCCCTGACCGGCGGTCTCAAAGTAATTTTAGATCTATTTTTTTGTTTCAAATATTGAAATTATATGATTTGATCTGATGTCACTAGCGTCATTTCTTTTTTCTAATGCCATTTTTCTTCTTGATTTCTGAATATCATTTTAAGTTTGAAAACCAAATAGTCTCTTAATGGTGGTTAGTAGTTATGCACTTAGGTTTAGAGTTTATAATCATTCTTTGGTTGAGGGTAAGTAACATGAAGTCTTTTAGTCTTAGGAAAGCATATTTAAGTTATTATGATGTGAAAGATCAACTGTGTTAACCTGTCAGATTTAATTTATCTTTTGATTTACTGCCTGGTGACGCCCGACCATCAATATTCGTCACCGTAACAATGTAGCCAAAGATTGTGCTTTGTCTTTGCTGTTGCTGGACATGGTTATCACTATTGCGGGAGATAATCTTTTGCAGAGAGTTTTTCTTGTAATCATGTCATTATTCTTATTTATTTATTTTTTTGTTTAGAATAATGTAACATATCCTAAGTTTTATCCCTATTTTTTTCATCACAAGTGACATGCTAGCCAATGTTTTATTATCATATCTGCTATCCAATGTCTTATTATCATATCATTTACCACATCAACTAAGCATCTATATATCAATGCTAGAATTGGGAAACACATGACTTGGTATGGGACATCTTAGATAAGATTTGGATTTTTGTAGTGCTATCCTTTGTTGGTATCTATGTGAAAATGTTACTAGCATTCTCGATTCAAACTTCTCAATCTTATTTTGAATACCCTGTTATATACTGTATGACTTTGGTGAATTCACTGGTTCCTTCTGTCTTGTTATCCAGGGTGTTGGCAATACTCTAAAAAGACATTATGAAACTTACCTTTTAGAATATGAATTGGCTCATGATGATGTAGATGGAGAATGCTGCTTATTGTGTCACAGGTCTCTCTCTCTCTCTCTCTCTCTCTCTCTCTCTCTCTCTCAACCATCCCCCCACCCCCAAGTATCCAGTAATTACAAAATTGTATGATGTATTGATAATTGGATGTTTTGGGTCGTGCAGTAGTGCAGCAGGTGATTGGGTTAATTGTGGAATATGCGGTGAGTGGGCGCATTTCGGCTGTGATAGGCGGCAGGGGCTTGGGGCCTTTAAGGTTGTTTGCATTTCAATTTTACATAATAAAATTGATTCCCTTGAGGTGGCAAACTGCATCAGATTCATGATCTTGACATTTATGTGGTAAATGACAGGACTATGCAAAGACGGATGGCTTGGAGTACGTGTGTCCACAATGCAGTGTCACAAATTTCAAGAAGAAATCCCAGAAAACGTCAAATGGCTATTAACAAGCCCTAACTTAAATTTTAGGTTCCTCTCTGAAAACCTTTCTCGCCCTTTCTATTTTCTTTCCCAATACAAATACGTGAGAAGGCATGGGATTAGGAATGTAATTATTGTTGTATCCCCCAGCGTTGTTTTAATATATAGATTATGCCATTAAAGTCCCACCCAATTTTTCCTCTATTGTTATCAAGAATCTCGAAGAAGAGAAGTTTGTAGATTACATTTTTTTAATTAGTTCAATTTAATGAGGTAGTTCTGTCAAGTGTCAAGTATATCTGGTAAACGATTTATTACAACTTAAGGCAGATGAGAATCTAGTGTTTTCTGGTCTAAATGTGGGTTTCAATCATCTTGATTTAAGTTTTATACCTTTCTCGGCCTTTTGGCTAAGATCAAGTGTAGTATATGTTCTTATCAGTTTAATATCTTGATTTAAGTTGTATTCCAAATTTGGAGTCGCCTTATTTTTCCAGTGTTGCAGCTGGCTTTATTATACACACTAAGCTTTAACATTTAGCGGAGGGAGAAAATAAATGCTGTATCCAATAAGACATATGAATATGAATTGCCATGCCTGCAGAAAGAAAGCCGATGCCAAATTGTCATGGTGCGAAACATTCTTACGAGTGGTGGCTTCTTCATGTTTAAAGTTTAACCAGTGTTTTAAAACCTAGTCTGGCCTGGCCGGTTGATCCAGGGCCCAAGACTTTCATTGGGTCAGGTTAACAATTTTCTTATTCACCTAAAATCCTAGAATTTGGAATGATGATCGATAAACAATTGAAGGTTAGGATGTTGGGGCTTTTGAAGAGGAAATGTCGATAAGTGCAATGGTGGCGACGGAAATGATTTCCGATGAGTTAATCGACTGGAAATCGAAAAAAAACCGGCGGCAATAGTTGGCTTTTGCCAACGATTGAGATGAACGGGTGTAGGGTGAGATAAGTTTTGGTCAGGAGGTTGAGGGGAGTATTTTCGTGGTGATGAGGAGGGTTGTCGATGTCGACAGTAGTAAGATTTGGTCGAAATCGGTCGTTGTCGGCATTGGTGAGATCTGGTCAACGTTGGTGTCGGTGAGATCCGGGGATGAAATTGGTTGATTTCGACCAGATCTTGGATAGATTTTCTAGGGAATGGGTTCAAGGGATGATTGAGATTGCATTTAGTGTGTCGTTGTTGTTAACCAATCGACTGTTGATTTGTATTTAGGGTGTGTTTGTTAAATTTTAAACCTGTAAAGACTTAATGAATTTTTAGAGATGTATTTCCTGAATTTTAAACTTTTTGACACCCGTTTGGTCAAATTGGTTAAACCGGTCAATTTGGACCCAACAACTTTGCCAACTTTCACCCCGGTTGGTTATTAGGACATTGTTTTAAACTTTAAAGTGGCTATCAGCGGGGAACTTGTGTCTTTCAATCTTCTGACTGGGTTACTTGTGAGAAAGACCACTGTCGAAGCTCATATATTAATATCCAGAGTAAATTAGATTATGTAAACCTTTCTGTTTGCAGAATATGAAATGCATTTTCACAAGTATCAATATACACCGTTGAAAGATATTTCCTAGTCTCTATACTGCATTTTAAACAGGAAAACTATAACGAAAAGCAAAAGGAAATAAGTGAAATGCCTCCAGCAACTAGTAGCCCTAAGTCAGCTGAAAATTAAGGGAAAAATGTCTTCACATGTAGAGATCGTTCAGGTTTTGGGTTTTAGCTCTGCGGCAGTGCAGAAGGTGTTCCTCATTTGCTTAACAGCTCCATTGCAACCATTTATCATGACTGCTTCTCTGACGGGCTTCCCTGTTACAATATTGCTATCGCTTGCCAAACTGTTGTTACTGCTGCTGCTGCTGCTGCTGCCGCTGCTATTATTTTGAGCAACACCGTTACTGAACCCGATTTTCTTCCACTCATCGGAAACAGATATAGATGATGAAGATGCCTTCCCACTGGATATGGCAGTAGCCAAAGCAATAGGCATGAGGCAGAGGCCTTTAGTCTGAAGATATTGCATTGCCATTGTCACATTTGTTTCCATTAGCTTCACTACCTCTTCTTCAAAGGCAACTTGATCAGGATTCAGAGAAATATCAACTCCTTTACCAGCTGTTGGTGATAGTGACAAACCAGTGGAGCCCTAACACAGATAAATTAGGGTGTCAGTAGTGAGCTAATTATTTAATTTTCAGTTATGCAAAACACAGTTATTTCCTTGACACAAAATATTATCTTCTAAAGAATAACGAGAAGCAAAACTTAGTGCATAAACCTATTTCATTGTTGCAATAGTGGATAATTCCTAACTGCTAACACTTTGTAATATAAGAAATTCTCTGTCCTATCTGGGGACATTACAGTATATAGTCTTCTTTCAGTTTTTCTCCACCATGGATGGTGACACCAAACTAGCAGAGCATTTGCGTGGGTAAATGCCCTAGCATTTAAAATGAGCCAATAGTGATTAATTCAATAATCACTACCAATTTTGTAGAAACAGAAGACTCTTGAATTTTCTAAGTGTGAATAAGTTTTTTTCGATATAAAATAGAGAAGGATGCTGCACCTCAGCTTGGCCATCTGTGATGAGAGGAAGAACTGCCCCTGCAGCCCCCAATCTGCTCACGCTGAGTACCTGAAATTGTTAAACTTTGCACTATCAAGGTGCTTTGAAGTTTACTGGACTAAAATTGTCTACTACTCTGGCGGGGTCCTCTATTGATTCATCCAAAAAAGGAAAAAAAAGTAAAAGAAATTTTATTACTGGTACTGCTGCCATTTGAATTCAACACAACTCCAATTTTTTAAGTATAAATGTGGGATACCTACTGGGACTTTTAAGCTTAATCATACCTTGACTTGGAGTTGAAGAAATTTTACATAATCTATGATCTCATCAAGCATCGATGCCTTGTCCGTCTGCAGAAACAAGATGGGGTCACTGGAATGTTAGAGAACTGCTATAAATTTCATACTGCATAATTAAGCCTGAAATCATTATGTTTGTGTGGAATAAGAATAATTAAAAGGAAGTAAAACGTACTGGCACAAATTTTAATTATGTTAAACTGAGCTAACAACACTATATATATATATATATATATATATATATATATTCTCGGCTTGCAAAATCATAAATGTAAAGTGTTCATCAGATTAAATTTCACTGAAAATGAGCCCATGAGTTAGCTATCATAGATTTCCAGTTAAATCTACTAAACATTTGCCTTGGTTCTCAAAATATTTTTGCAAGATAAACCATATATGCCCTAGACATAGCTGCTACATATCTATTTAAGTTTCAAACTGTAAAAACACCTGGATAATCACTGAAGAGAACAGATATATCAGAACTGCTGTTAAATGATCATGGCAACAACTTATAGAAGAGGTACCTTATTGGAATTAGGTACAAGCTCTTGCAAATTCTTCATCCTTTCAGCAATTTTCTCTCTCCTAAGCTGCACTTATTCATTTTAAGAAAAGTAAAATATATTAATTTTGAAAGTTCTAGCAAACCAAATCAGATGATACAGCTACTACAAATTATGCAACATGAGTCCCAAGCTTGAAACTGATGTAAGAAAAATAATTGATGATATTATAAGGACATTAAAACCAACCCTTTCAGCAATGCTGTGTGGGTCAGTGGCCTGGCCTCGACGTGCCCTTGCGCGAGGCTTTCCAGTTCCATAAAAGCTGCCAGTTGGAGTAGCTGATACTGTCTGTATAAAGAAGTTGAAAGCTTATTAGTAAAATACTTCACTGGACTCCCTTCACTCATTTTTAATTGCTGCTAAGAAATTTAGGTCTGATAAATAATTAAAATTGACCAGAAATTGAGATCTCGATATAAGAAGAACCTGCAGTGGAGATGGCATCATTGTTTGGGGTACAGCAGCAAAGGACGATAATGGATGATTTTGCAATTCTTGTTTCCCCTACATCATATTAACAATATATATCATCGTTTCATGTTTCCAAAGATGGTAGCATGGAGATGGTAATGTGTCCACTGTGCTTTAGGCTTTCTTCTCCAAAACTTAAATGGTAAATTCCCTTCTGACTCAATTACTAGAAGTAATGAATATAAGGAAGCCACAAGGACATGAGAGTTTAGTATCTTATTAAGTCAGTTTTGCTGTTCGATACAACTTTTAAGCAGTAAAAATTAAGCATATCGTTTGTATAAAATGAATACCTTGGGGGTGACTGAAGCAGGCAAGCTATCAAACTGCAGGATTTTCTCCATCCCCACGTATCTGGTCCTGGTAGTATCTGTATCATTGTTGATATTTGCTGCTTGCAGACCAAAGCACTGTATTCTATCTTGTCCCATTACATGAGACAAGGAAGAAACCTCCTTATAAGATGATGGAAACCAAAATCCTGGAATTGGAGAAAGAGTTTGTAAATCTCTGACAGATCTCTGAATATCAGACAATTCACTGCCATTTCCTCCAAGGTGTCCTAACTCAGTAAAAGAAAGATCAGATGAACTTATATGACTGACCACTGGAAGCTTATTTGGATAACTGGGATTTACTGAACCAAGGCCAGGAATAGCTGTATCATATCGCAGGCCTACATTTCCAAGTTTTAAGCTTCCATTCATCTTACTTGAGAGGTTGCCATTGCAGTTTTCATAATCTTTTTGCGCTTGAGCATTTTCAGAAAGTAGATTCTTGTCAACACTGTAATCTGACTCTTCACCAAGAACAATTGACGACAAATCCTGATCAGCTAAACTCTCGATTGTGTGGTTTGTACTTATAATACTTGCAGGTGAATTTTTCTCATCATCTTCATATAGTTCAACTGAAATTGGAAGCAGTCCATTTTGTCGTTCACAATAGTCCAAAGTTGATCTTTCCTTTGCATTAACATCTGACCATGACGAAGAAGAGAGATATTGATCGAGATACTCATCCATCATATATCACTACACAATCTAGTCTTTTTCTTCTTTCCCCTTTGTTTATATCACGGACAGTACGGATTTTAGAAACTGAATTTACGTTAATCAGTACTGAACATATGAAATGAACCTCCTCTGCTCATACAATTGGTCTGTACCTTCAGTTCATGAAAGACAGATATAATTAGCGTATAAATAATCCCTAAGCAAATTGAGACTTGAATTACAAGGTAAACATCATTTTAAGCAAGCTTAAAAACTAGTAAGCATTGATCAATAAAATAAAAATTGGCGCTGGAAAACTAAAGAATGAGCTTAATTCCAAATTTAAGAAGCTTGATCGGAAAAGGTCAAAAAAAAAAAAAAACAGTAATCATGACATGAGGGTTTTATAAACTCCTTAAGAAACCCCTGTTTCTTAGGCTACAAGAATTATAATCTTCTGAACCAGGATGAATATTCTTAATACAACCAATAAAAAGAAATTAAATAAATAAAGAAATTCATTATAGGTATAAACATCCAGGAACAGAAGAGCAATTATTAAGCGGCCACACAGAACTACAATTTTAAGAATGTTTATCAATTAAGCTCCTCAAAATGATGAATTGGAAACTCCAATAGAAAGAGGGCGGTAAAACGAAAGAAAAAAAAAATCACCTGAAAGCAAAAAAGTTAATGTTTGATAAATCTCAATCTGATAACTCATAGTTGATCAAAAAATCCATTCATATATAAACTAGGAAAAAAAAATACAGAATAGCAATCCAGAATCAACCATCTAAATTTCAACAAAGAAGCTCCTACAGGCTACAACAATATACAGAAGATTCCTTTTTTTTTTTTTGTCTTCTAGGAAAATCACACGTCCAAGTCCAAGAGCAAACTTTACAACAATAGAACAAAAGGAGCCTCGGATACCTTTCTCAAAACCCAAAATTCAACAAAGCAAATATAAAATTCACAAAAAAATCAATCACCAGACCACTGTTAGTCAGCTCAACTTTACATCATCAACTTATCTAAACAACATTTCGAAATTTCAAGCAACACACTTCAGGCAAACACCTTATAAGATAGTGCATGAAGAACCTGATACATATTGAAATCATTCATAACACAAACACAAAGTATATGTTAAAATGATCACCATCATTGCACGCACAAAATAAAAAATCAAACATTTGGAAAAGAAAACTTACACAGAGAGAGGCGAGGAAGGGAGAGACTGTAGTAGAAGCAGAAGTAGTGAGCGTTTACTCTACTGAGCGTCCAAGAAAAGGAGTTGAGGTTTTAGCTTTTCATGAGTAACCGCTCTTTTATAGTAAAAGCTGATTTTGTATGTATTATTATATGGAATATTTCTTCAGTAATTTCACCTTAAAAGTATTGGTGTCGTGTCAGACAATGAGTGGACATATCACTGTGATTTTATTCTTTATATTTATTTTATTTGATTGAATTTGGTTAGGCTAAACGTTACAATCTGCTTTAAGAAATGGGGTGACAGTGCGGGGTGCTAGTTTCCTGAAATGTAGTTGGGTGTTTGGGATAGGGGGTAATTTGGTGATTTAGAGAAGAGAAGTTTTCATCTTGGCGGATAAAGCGGAGAAGTTTCAGTTATTATTGATTTGAGTGGCCTGCGCCAGGTCAGATTGCTGAAAGAAAATAGCGGAGTTTGTTACAGTGCAATTCTGTAATTTTTGCTATCAAAATTGAACACAATGTTTTGTATTATGCTATAATTTAATTCTCTTAGATTATAGGACATGAAGTGGATGAACACTAATTTATGTCATAATATTTCCTTAACGACACGTGTAAATTGATGTCCAGTTAATAATATGTTATTTTCTTTTAAATTAGAAATTGTAGGTGTGAGAAGATAGTTTTGTAATTGTAATATACTGATTTTTTATTGTTATTTTCCAAAAAAGTAAAGCATCTCTTTTAGAAAACACAACAATATGCGTTTTTAAATTTTGGGCTGGACGAATAATAAAATTGTGGTTATACTTGGTGACAATTGACAATAGCTTAAAAGCAAGCTTTATGTCTTTTTGTTTAGTTAAATAGACAATCAATATTCCTTTTATTATATGTCGTTAACATAAGAAATAAGCCATAAATAATTAATAAAATGGTTAATTGATCAAAATAATTTATTGATAAGAGCTTGAAAGTACATATTTTGTTAGTGATTTAATTTGATTATTTATGGAAAAATGTGTTTAATTTATGGAATTTGAATTAATTCTTTCATAAATACCTTTTACGGGATCACGGGTGTATTTTAAGTATTTTCAGGTTTAAACCGATATATGAAGGAAAAAGAATGATGGCGATGAAATTCATGACAAGTAGGAACAAACGGTGTAAGAATCGGAGTTGAAACGATAAAGTTGTAACGCGTCGAAGATACAACGTAAAATCTAAAAATCCTTCAAGATGAGCATGCTTTGATGTTTCTATCATAACTTGAGATGTAGAAATCGGAATTTGACGATTCTTGTGACGTTAGAAAGCTTATTCAAAAGCTACAAAGTTAGTGTGGTTACTTTACCAAATTCTGAAGATTACAGACTCGTGGGACAGAAAGAACGATCGCCGTAGCGACTGTATCTTATTGCCGCAACGATAGGTCACGGGCCTGTTTGGGTTATTGCATTCTCCTAGTCCGAATCTGAATGGGTTAAGGTATTTAATTCTCTCCTAAGTAACCTCCAAACGCTAGCACTATAAATAAGGGTCTTTAAGTAGTTTTTAGGAGATTAGAGAAGGAGAAATGATGGCTACTGTTTTGGAGATCGGAATTCTTGCAATTCTCGTTCGCCAATTAGAGAAGTTTTCTATTTTTCTTTCTTGAATTGATGTTATTGAATACAATGGTTGTTTTTATTACTGCATTTATGAACCAAATCCCTTTTCTAATTTATGAATATATGTTGACTTTATCGTTGTTAATTTTTATTGAGTATTAATTCTAAGTTTTATTATTGTGTGTAATGCTTTCAATTCTTAAGGATCGGAGAGTTGAATGATATCATGGGTTGGGTTGAGATTGAGAGATTGAACCTGATTTGTCTAAGGTAATAAAACCATAGATTGAGCGAACGCTAGAGATAGGTTACCGCGATTTATGAGGCTCTGGTAAATTCCATAGAACGTAATGATCTCTTAGTTCCTAAATCCAACTTAGAGATATTTTGGGTTGTTGCTTAAGGGTTAATTCGCTAACTATTCGAGAGAAAGTTGGTGAAATATCATGGAGTTTGGCCTTTAGAATAAGCTTAATTAGGTTAGCAATAATTGTTAATGCATTGGATTAAATTGGTGTGAAATATGTGCCCTAGGTTTAGTCATATTGATCTGTTTACCAAGTTATTCATAAAATTCTGCCTTTGTTTAGTTTTTAGTTTGTTTTCTTTTTCATTAAATTCATTCTTAAAATTCAGTTTTATCAAATAGTAACAAAATAGACTAGTTTGATACTTGGTAGGTAATTTCCTTGAGATTCGATACTCATTTACTCGAGCTTTATTATTTGCGTGATTTTGTACACTTGCGAAAAGCCTGTCAATTATCCATGAAAGTTGAATATTGGTTTGATTCTGTTTCCAATTTCCATGTGCTCCTACAGCCACACCCAAAGATAAGATATTATTGTACATACAACTTCTATATAGCGTCAACAAATCCGAATTGAGATTGATATATCATACATTAATCTTTCTAAATTTATGATTTATTTCAATTCTTCTTTATGTTTCAACATAAAGTATAAACTATTAAGGGGGTATTTGTCTAAGCTTATAAGCTGATCAAACTAGTTTATAAACTCTAAAATTAAGCTGGCCTGTTTGTTTATAATTTTTTTGAGTTTATAAGCAAATAAATAAGTTGGGGGGAGGTACTTTTTTTTTTTTTTTTTTTTTTTTATTTATAAACACTCTGCTTTTTAAACTAGTTTGACCAAATATATTATACATTATCCTTGTTTAATTTAAAATTCCATAGTATATCCTTATTTAATGTAGTACCATTTTTAGTTATTTTATAATAAAATGTACTTATAAGCCACATTTTACAAAACACGTCAACTACTTATCAATCACTTATAAATACTTTAACCAAACACATAATTGCTTAAAATTTCAAATGTTTATAAACTAAAATTAGCTTATTACTTGTTACTTATAAGCTAATTTTCATAAGCTTAACAACAACCCTTTAGGCCTCATTAATCATGCTAAAATAAAATGTGAGTATGGATGAATGATATCCATGGGCAAAACCAGTTTTTATGTAAGTTCCAAAACACTAAAGCCATGATTTTAGGCTTTTAAATCCTCATGAAGAATGAAATTGTTACATCTTTTTCAAAGTATTTGTTGCATATAAAATACCTAAATAGATTTTTTCTTTGAAAAAGTCAATGATTGATAGGCGGTGCGGTGTGCCCTTGGTTAGGTCTCTAGACAATCTACTTGATGGTAACGGTGAGAATGAGAAGACCAAAGGCTACAGAGTAATGTCACCACAACAAACCGAAAAAAGATTATAAAAATAATTTCACTTTGTATGCTATTACCCTGCACAATCAGTTAACATTTCCTATCAAACTAACTGGTTAATTCATGATGTCCAATAAACTGACATTGTGGTGACTGAAGAGTGTTAATTTTCTCAAGTGAAGCTGACTTCTTTACTTAAAACAGGGAACATATGGGGTCTTTCTTTGACAATTAAACAAAGGATACATTATTCTCAATCATATGAAATATGAGACAACTTTACTGTTTCAACCAATGTAAGCTTTTATATTATCTTATAATATAACTTCAGCTTAAGCTTATCATTTGATTAATCACATTGTACCAATATGATCTTCAAATTAATTTAACTTTTCTCATCTAGATGATTCTGCCTCCTCCTTCATTGCCAAAATGTCCTGGCCATACTTATTTAGCTGTTCATTCTCAGGTTGTTGTAAAGGAACCTGCAATGCAAACGACATGTTCAATGTGCATATGAACAAATACTTGCATTTTGAAATTAAATAGTATAAGACAGCAAGAATGAGGTACTTCCAATACTACCTCTGCCCCATACCAACTACATGAACCTTCATATCTCACTCTCCCTCCAGAACCCAAAAAAAAAAAAAAAAACATAATATGCATCAACTTGAAAAAACTTAATCTGGTAACAAAAAACAGAGGTTGGATTTATCATCCAACATACAAACTTGTACTTACAAAAAATCTATTCTGTTACGTAGTAATGTTTTAAACAAAACTTGCGATCTTCATGATATGAGTAGAATTTTGATAAGAAAATTGCAAATTTTTAGAATTTTTATTAATGTTGCAGTTACTAGTTCAAGAGACTTACAATTGATCTCGTGTAGAAATCTAAGCATCCCTTATTAATTTGACATAGAAATTCTAAAAATAAGATTGCCTAAATACATGAGCTAGCCTACAATAATGGAGTCTTTCACAAAATCGAAGAATGATTAATGCATACTAAGAGACATTGAAAATAACATCTTTCTTCTCAACATACCTCTTCCAGTTCTTGTTCAGCTTCATCAACATAATAATGTCTTCATGATCTCTCTCATCCTCATTCAACTTCAGAAAGTCCACATACTCTGTCCCTTCATCAAGACTGCCATGTTTCTGTCATAGAAGGATTTGAAAAGGGTATTTGGAATCTGTAGCCCACATCTTTGTCAGTTCAGTAAGTAATTCTTCAAAGACAGGAAGGGTCGTCTACATTTTAACTTTCTTGGCTTCATCCACTATTCCTCCGGGTTTTTAAGCAGGGACCTGTAAATGATGTGCTAAATGTGTTAGCAAAAATATTTGAACTGTATTCTGAGAAAACCTCAAGGAGTAGTAGCTTTTAGCTGTTGTCTGACTTCAAACATTTCACAAATTGAGCAATTGTTCAAGTAGCAAAGATCCTGTGCAACAATGTCATAAGTCCATTTCCTCTTACATGTAAATGTAAATTGTAGTACAGGACCTTCATGTGCATTATATACCAAAATTTAAGAAGATGGACAATCAACATGATTTCTCAATTCAATAGAAGACCAAAATGGTGAATTAGGGTCCAAAATAACAAGAGATGTGAAAAGTAAGTCCGGTTACACCTACTCCCAATCCTAAATGGTATCAACAACATAGAGATCATGTAAGGGTAATTCATCCTAGCCTTCTAACCTCACAAAACGACTATCCCAATGAGGACAACGCATAGATACATTATGTTACTGAGCATCATTACATAATCTGGCAAATTAAATGGGAAATACTGGTTTCTGCTATCATATTATCAACCTCCATTTCTTGTCAATATTTATAATGCATTTGTTAAACAAGTTAGGTAGCAGATTTCAGCACACAACAAGGCAAACATAACGTAATGTTGAAGAACTAGTTGGGCTGAAGTATATAATGAAGAGAAATAACAGGAGGTAGTCATTATAGGATACAGAACTGATGCAACTGAAAGGATAGTCTCATTGTGTTTTACAGTATAACCCATATTTTCTGGTAGCACAAGAAAGCTATACAAACAAAGAAAACTAGAACATAGAAATTGCTGCACATACAAATAAGTATCTCCGATTAGATTTATAAACAAATTAACCCAAATAATAATACGAGACGGCTATAGAACTTCCAGTCAAATATAGGCAAACGTGCTAGGATGTTTACTACAATGAAGAAACTCAAGGAAACAAATTTTATGATTCTAGCCTAGTTAGGGTGAATGCATAGTGATGTAAAAAAAGAAAAAGGTAATTATATGAGAGTGAATACAGCTTATAAAACAAGAAAGACAGTATTTAGTTATTTGAAAACAAGTTGAACTTCATTTGGAAATTATATTTATATATTCATACCTTATAATGAATCTACATTTGTAATGATAATATCTGACTAATAAACCATATTAATTTCTTCATGATCAATAATGTTCAAGATTAGATAATGTCAAACACCATTCATACAATACAAATGGATATCCATATATCTGAGGCACTGAGGCTGCATGTGTCATTATCACAAACAAATCATGAACAAATTCTGTAATACATTGAACCAACATGTTGTCGTACAACTTAACTGTTACGACATGATTCCACAAGATTAAATTTCTTTTCTGGTTTTCCAACACAAATATAACAAAACAGTGTCCACCAATTTCAAATTATGAGTTTGAAACAGAATCAGAAAAGAACAGTGAAAGTCTGTAAGGATTTACAATAAAACGGTATATAACAGATATATTATAAAGCAAAAGAGTTTGAATTAGAAAACTGAAAAAGACATCTTTGCATAGTTTTAAATGCCGACAACATAAAACCTTCATTGATATATTTTTAGATTTTCAAACTCAAATCAAGTAATAACCCATAACATTAAGCAAAACACAAAAAAAAGAAAGAAAAAAGTAAGCAACTGATAAAAGCTTAACAAAGAACATGACATGAAACCAGATATTGCCCCACTATCTCATATCCATTATTTCGTTACTTCCTCTGCATCCAAACCATACATTCCATATGCTTGCCATGCAATTACATATTAACACGCCACTCATAACTACTAACCATCCAACTCACTCAATCAACTCATTCATGCAACCTCTTACCCTTAACATTTCGAGAAGCAACTGAACCCACTACGCACAAATTCTCTAGCTCCACTCTTCAGCTACGACTTAATTTGTAGTTCAATGAAATGAAAGCCAGTCATAGCCCATGGTCAAGCATTCAACCACCATCTTTAGCTTAGACAAGTTGTATAAACTCTTAACTCTCCTTCTCTTTCTTTCCAATTTAAAACTTGGTTGCAGGGACACAAAAAATAAAAAGAAAAAAGAAAGCCGCCAAATATCAGCAAGAGCTGCATGACCCACATGACAAATTCCATCCAAAAGTAAAATCAAACATCAACTAGTCAATGTAGGCAGCATTAAATGAACCACTCAAAATAAACAAGAAGAATTGACTCACAAGTTCGATGAAGAGATGGGAGAGATAGAAGGCGGCTGCTACCTCTGTTCAAAGAATTTCTTCGTTAATTAACAGACTGATAAAATAACCATAAAATAGCGTCAGTTTGACTTTTTTGCCCTTCATATAAGGGATATAATATCACCAAAATCAGGCTTCTACGAAAAGAGAACTGAAGCCTCTTTGACAAGAAATTAGCACAAACTTGTCATTAAAAAAATAAAAAGTTCATTGACATTATCACCCTCAAACCACGACATAAAGCACCACCTTCTTCATCGTCTAAACTTCATAACTCCAATCATGTCTTCAATCAAATCCAAAGTCATCTCTTTCCTCTTCTTATTCTTCCTCATCCACTTGGGCACCGTCCCATCACTCGCCAGAAAGTACCACCTCATCAATTTCCGATCACCCAACCTCTACCCAGAGGGTCTCACCTGGGACGCATACGACCAGCACTTCGTCGTCGGCTCCCTCCACCACCGCTCTCTCCACTCCGTCTCCGACGCCGGCGTCATCCAAACCCTAATCTCCGACCCTTCTCTTCCCCCGAACGCTACCATCTTAGGCCTCGCCATCGATTCTATCAACAAGCGCCTCCTCGCCGTCGTAAACTCAGTCGCGCCTCTCCCTCCCTTCAACGCCCTCGTTGCCTACGACCTCAAAACCCTCCGCCGTGTCTTCCTCTCTCTCCTCGATGACGTTGTCCCCGACGGCGACTTCGGCACGCGCAACGGGGCCAACGACGTGGCGGTGGACTTTGAAGGAAACGCGTACGTCACCAACTCGCCGGCTAACTTCATCTGGAAAGTCGACAAAGATGGAGCGGCTTCGGTCTTCTCCAGATCTCCGGTTTTCACGGCGCATCCATTGGCGGTTCCACACGACGCGCCGTTCAGCGAGTGTGGATTAAACGGGATCGCTTACATCAGCAAGGGGTACTTATTGGTGGTTCAATCGAATACGGGGAGGATGTTTAAAGTGAATGTGGAAGACGGGTCAGCTCGGGTCGTTATGTTGACCGAGACTTTGACTTGGGCGGATGGTGTTGCAGTAAGAAAAGACGGCGTCGTTTTGGTGGTATCTCATACCAGGCTGTGGTTTCTGAAGTCTCATGATAGTTGGGGAGAGGGAGTGGTGTATGACAAAACAGCCCTTGATGAGGAAAAGTTTGCTACTGCAGTGGCAGTGGGAGGGGATGATAGGGTTTATGTGTTATATGGGCATCTGATGGAAGGCATAATGGGAAAAGGAGGAAGGGAAGAGTTTAGTATAGAAGAAGTGAGGTCAAAGAAAGAGAGTGAAGATGAAAATGTGTGGGTGTTTGTATTGATAGGGTTGGGATTGGCTTATTTCTTGTTCTGGAGATTTCAAATGAGCAAACTTGTTAAGACTATGGATAAGAAGATTAATTGAGTTTTTGTTGTATGTATTTGATTTCTAATTTGTGAGGTTCAGCTTGAAGCTCATAGTTTTTACTCTCTTTACGAACTCAAATTTCTTTCAAACACTTTGCCCTGCCTGTGCAGTCTTGATCCTTAATCAGAAGATAGAAGTTGGGTAAGCTCTAAGCCTGTTTTTTGTTACTATATGAATTGAAAAGAAATCTTATGATCAAAGATTAAAGCTTTGTTGAATTAGTTTGATGGATTAGAGAGTTTGAGTCTGTGTATTCAGGTTTTGATGATACCTGTGCTCTGGTGTTTGCAATTTATATATGAATCCAAGTGTTGAGAATATAATCTTTCTTGCAAATAAATAATGTTTTTTTCTTTAATTTGTTGTTCACTTCACCTCTGTTTACATGATATCTAAATAAATGTCATCCGGGCTTCCAGTTTCAGTTAATTATTCTCCTTTTTCAGATACTTTTTTCTTTCAATTATTGCTTTTATTTGATCTTGTTTCATTGATCATGTATTTTGTTGTTAGAAAACGCAAGGAAAAAGTTTTGCTGTAATATTATACATTGTATATCTCTTCTTCCACTGATCCTGTGTTTAATTGAAGAAGAAATCAATTAGATAGAAAGTCTTTAATTTAATTACAGTAAATTGGAAAGTTGTATTATGATATGCTAAACAAAGGTTTTTTAATGCCTCAAACTTTAATCATATATGTGTCCTGAAAACTAATTACTTGTATTGATATTTGTTTGAACAGAGGATGAGTGATTGAGTGACGTGCAACAAAGAATAACAACAGTATCTTTTCAAACAATTTCTGCCAATGTTTTTTTTTTCCTTAAAAACCTCCTTAAGTGGGAAACTTAAAACCCTTTCGCACCTTCATATATTGCTGAGCTCGAGGTTTGCTTATTTTGTATCTAGAATTTGAGTATGAAATTGCTGAGCCCCTTCATTTCTAGATAGATTGAAACATTTGTTGATTTAAAAATTGATTGGCAATAAAATGATTTCTTTCACTTCTGAATTCCAAACAATTCGATTGGGGGTCAGCACACAAAGATTGAACCCCTTTGATTTTTTATTTTTTTTTAAAACCATAAAATATACTTATAATTTAATTCTCTATTTTGATCAAAGAGCATTTCTGCTTATATTTCGACTTTCTATATAAAAAATCTACTCTCCTTTCTATATTATAAAAAATGAGTATATAGGATAAATAAATATTAGTTAAAATGAGATACAGAGATTAAGTTACAATAAGATGGTCAACAGAACGGAAATGAGGATGCCCCTGTTTCCAATTATTGAGAAGGTATCTATTATAACGAGTCTAAGAATGAGCGAAAACAATGGCTAATCTCAATACTTTCTTTAAAGGTAATGAGTCATTTACTTGGCAAGTTTAAATGCTTTCCAAATTCCCTCCACTACTGTAATTGCGAATCAACATAAACCTTGACATATCCAGAACTAGCATATTAATTATAACCAACTTTCAAATCCAAAAAGGGAGGTGATGAAGTACATCTTCCATTCATTTTTACATCTTAAAACAAAAATTTCCCCACCAACACACTACATGGTGATATCTAGTTTGGAATTTTCAACATCATCCCAGAAAAACAAAACTATTCACATTACAAAAGACCAGTCTCCATGACCAAGTAAAGAATTAATTTAATGCATGCACTTGGCGCACAAATGACTAGTAGTACTTGAGAGAGTTCCACAATTGTAACAGAATGAATGTCCACACCTGTAGTGTTTTATCAAGGAGACCAATCAGATAAATTACTGAAGCTATCAACAATTATCGTTGAGATGGAAACTGATTGACATTCAGCTGAGTTATTTTAGATTAAGATAGGTTCATGCCATATCGATTAAAGAAAATATTACATAAACAATAAAGTGTATCAAAGTTTCATTGAAATTGAACCATAATAGAAGAAAATGTCTCAGAAGTAAATTAGATGCAATATGTAACATAGAATTATGTAAAGAATCACCAGGAAAAGACAAATGCACCTACGTTACTGCCTTTATCAACTAGAATAGTGAAGGCTGTGATTAAAAATGGGCTTTGTCTATTCCTAAGGGCTAAGGCTTTATTTCTTTCTCACAGATACTGACGCAACATTCTTAATCATGAAGGCAAAGGCATCAGGCAGAGGATTCTCCTGAGCAATAACAGCCAACAGATTGTATTAAATTTGTATAAGTTATATTAAAAAATAATGCATAGAACCAAGAAATTGCCAACCCTGATAAAATTGAAGATAATTTAAAACAATGTGGATATAAAAATATAAAATATATTCTTAAATATATAACTATTTATAATAGCACCATGAACCAAGTAAAATCCACTAAGGTACTAAAACCATGAGATAGTATAAAAGTAATGGAAAATAAAGCAGACCTGCACTTCATATTATTGCAACCATCTTTCTTCGAAACATAGTACCTACAGTGAGGACACCTCTTCCATTTCTTCTTCTCTGCAAGCTTAATCAACATCATATCTTCACTGCTGCTCTCATTCTTATTCAACTTCTTAAACTCAGCACAACTAATCCCTGCATGCCAAGGAACCTTACATTGGGCACAAAACAATCTATAACAATGCGGGCACTCTGATTCCATTATAACTTCTCCATCAGTAATCATAAGCGCCGAACAACTTTTGAATGGACAATAAAACTTTTGAGCCCCAGGAATAACATCCTCACACAAAGCTTTGTTCCACCTATCAAACACATCTTGAGGGAGTATCTTGTGACAGTACTCAGGCTCTAATGAACCTTTACAGTCTGCTAAAGGGCAACGAATATATATAATGTTTTCCTGCAACTTTGAGGCCACATACTTAGACATGCATCTGGTACAATATGCATGAGAGCAGCCCTGGATGCTAAATGAATCATTTGCAGTCTTGTGTTCAACACAGATTTCACATACAAAAGAAGGGCCATCATTTTTGGAGTTTGAGGACTGATGTCTTTCAGTCTTGCAAGAACTTGAAACGGACGTTCTTCTTTTAACTAAATGATTGTCACATAACTTTTTGGAACTCGTATCTGGAACCTGCAAATAACATACTAAATGTGTGAGCACTAAGACTATAACTGCGTTTGAAACAACCTTGAGCGGCATTATCTTTTAGCTATCATAAGACTTCAAAAGGTATGGTACTTCAAACGGCAGAGTACTTCCACCAACTTGCAAGTGATCTGTGGATGCATGTCCCAAGTCCAAATTTCCTCTAGCATTTAAGTTCAGAATGTAGTACAAAACTTTAATACTCATTACATACCAGAACCTAATGTGTATTAACTGACCTTAACATCCGTCTCTGTTGCATTTTCCTGCTCTTGTGACTTGCTGCTACTACATTAATTAGCATTGGGAAAATCATTATAACGTTTATGTAAACCGATAATAACACCAAGGAATCAAATGTAAGATTACTTACGAAATTCTTGTGGTAAGTTTTGGGGTGCTACTACTAGTAGATCTTTTCTTAATGGGTGGATCATGACTATCATGAACAATAGGCCTCTTACCCTTATTCTTCAAAGTCGACATGTAATTCTGCGTGAAATAAACAGTAGTAATAGTGTTAGATGGAATCTGTACGAGTAAATCAATAAATTTAATAAAATAAAATAAAATAAAAACTAACTTTCACAGCTTTGAGCTGATTTCTTTTTGTATAAACCTATATGTACATTGTTAATATTAAAATCATTATAAAGGAAATCAAAACATTAAAGAAACACAATCCTGTATTAGGAAACAGTTTGATGTCTGTCAGAGTTTAATAAAATTTCCTTAATTATTTATCCCGCATTTTATCAAATATAAACCCTAAGAAAATATCCAACAAGATTTGTATTGCTTTTCCGGTTTCTCACCTATTTCAAACAACAGGTTAAGGTCCAGAATCAAAATGTCAGGTTAAGGTCCAGAATCAAAATGTAACAGTTTGATAAAGGATAATCGGATAATGTAAAGAAAAAAGATTTCTAAGATCGTTACAATGGAGTAAATCTCTACATTATACACCCATCATTTACATATTCTTCAATTTCCTATCTCACATCAATCAACAACAAACAAAAATGTTAAGAACACAAAAGTAAGCAGCCAAAAAAAGCCTAATAAAATAATGCCGATGTGCCACAATATTTGTGAAAAAAAAAATTTTAATTTTTTAAATATAATAAACAAATAAAGGGTGTATACTATAAAGGGTTCTATGAGAGTTTGAATACTGTAACGTGTGATTTCTCAAAACTAAAATATAAACATAGACATTGACTCAAGCTCCACTTTTCAGCAACTATTATATTTAGCTTAGACTAGTTTTCACAAAACCGTAACTTCCTTTGGGTACAATAACACAAAAAAATAAATAAATAAAATTAAAAAATGAATTAAATCGACCAAATTAGAGCAAATTCTCTGAGACCCATGTGTAAAATCAAGAATGAAGTTCTGAATCCGAATCTAGGCACAAATTTAGGGCCAGAAAAATAAAAATCAACTACCATAGATTGAAATAATGTATGCGGAACAGTGAAACTATAAAAGAAGAAGAGATAACTCACCAAGAATAAGATTAGAAGGCGAACAGTCTGCTGAAAAAATAATAATAATTAGGTTTATTAAGAGAAGAGAAAGGTTTCAAACTTCAGTTTTGTTCCGCAGAGCAGTTTACATTAGCAACCACTGGGACTGATGCCAAAATTCCCAAGGATGACCCTTGAACGAGACGTGTCCAGTAAGTTATCAGTATATCATGGTCCTATAGGCTATAAGGCTATATAATATTAGATAAATTAATAACCTTCGTTACATAATAATTTTTTACGGTGCTAACTAATAATTTCAATAAGTTAATAAATAATACTTTTTTTAAAAACTTAATATAATTAGAGGTGGAAATTTTGGGCTGGGTTAGACAGGTCAACCCTAATCCAACTCGAAAAAATACAGATTAAACCCAGACTGCCATCTTGGCGGTCCAGGTTGACCCTAACCCGGCAACAACCCCCAGACTGGCCGGGTTGCACAATGGCAACCCGCAACCCGACGGGTTACTGTTTTATCTCTTTTGCAAAAGACCCAGCAACCCGCTGGGTTGGCTATGTGCAACTTGGCGGGTTGTACGCTAGGCCGAAAAAAAATTATTTTATTTTTCAAATTACCCTTGAAATATAGCCGTTTTATAGCTGTTGGAGGGGTGTTTTTCGTCATTTTTCTTTCCCATTTTTTCCTATAAATTAGCTCTAAACTCTCACATTTTTCTCACAACTCAAATTCTCTCATTCTCTCATATTCTCTAATCTCTAATCTCTCAAGTCTCAATTATTCATTTATTAGTTTTTGCAATTTGCTCATATTTTAATTTTTATTTAGTTTTTGTAATTTTTAATTCATATTTCCAATTTTCCAAATTCCAATTTCCATACTCCAATTCTTTTTCTTTAATTTTTATTTCTTCTACATCAATATTTTTTTTAAACTACAATGGATAGATATTTCTCTCCCATCAATTACAATGATGACGAGGCAATAATTATTGTAATTTTTCACTTTATTTTTTAATAAATAAATAAATTTAATTATTCTTATATTACAATTTTAATGTATTAAAATTGAATTAATATTTGGAATGTTAACAAAAAAAAATTAATTTAATTTAATTATTGATATTTGAAAAGAAATTAACAATCAACTAAAAACAATTACATTTATAAATTGTTAATTATTCATTTGAAAAGTTAATTAAACATTTAAACTTAAATAAAATAAAACAAAACAAAATTTTAAAAAAAAAGTCAAAATACGGGTTAACCCGGCCCAACCCGAGCCTAACCCGACGGGTTAGGGTTGGCGGTCCGGGTTGGGCCAGCCAATTCTCTAATGTTGGCGGGCCTAACCCGGCCCGCCAATGTCGCCGGGCGGGTCAAGACTGACCCGCCATTTGCAGCAACCCGCCGTGGGCCGGGTCGGGCCAGGTGGGTTGCTTTTCCACCTTTAAACATAACTATGTATTCTCATTTATATTATAAATAAATAATTTACTAATTGATTATGATATTTTAACTCTATTGTTTTTTGTTTCCTCTTAAAATTTAAATTTTATTGGATCTTATCTCTAAATTTTCTCATTGCATCTAACATAAGTATAATAAATTTATTATATATAATGAATATTATTTAATTAAATACACAAATAAAATAAATTTAAATTAATGTTTTAATGCATATTTATTGAATTAATTCATATTCAATTGATTAGATTAATAAAATATAATTAATTTTTAGTTGATTAAATATATCGTAAATACATTCTATAAATTATTAATTTATCGATTAATTAATACCTCTTTTAATTAATAGAATTTATATGATCCCAATGTTATTAATTTATATATATATAGTTCCCTGATCAGTGCATATTAATATAAATTCAGGTAAGACCATACATATTGATCATTGAATTCATTATATTGAACTAAAATGATATTTTGTAACTCAAATCTAATGGTGTATATACATTATTCTAATAAATTTATGAGAACGTCCTAACTAGAAAATTATTATTATTATTATTCATAAAAATATTTTAATTTATTTAATTTTCTATTTTCCTTTTATACTTTTGCAAAATAATATTAGGCTGCATTAAAAGAGGGTATGTGATAAAGAAGGTCGATTTGTCGGCAGTAAATGGAGATAATTACCTTAGCTCTATGTTGAGTCAAATTAAATTAAAATGAATATAATTATTTCCTTTAAGGTCATTTATTTGAATATATTATTTCTTTTCGTTTAATCAATTGTTATTTATTATAATAAGATCTTTTTTTTTTTAATTAGGATTTTCATCTATTTAATATTTATTTGTTCCAACCTTATTCTACTTTCAAATGGATATTTCTATATTTACAAATAAAATATTAAATACTATAAATAAATTTTAGAGATATAAAAAATATGAACAAATTGATGTTGCACTACCATTTTATTATCATTAATTGTAAATTTATTATTAAATTTACGTACTCTTATTTTGTGTGTGTATCATTCATAAATTTAGTTAAACTTCCTACAGTCTAGGAAAGTTCAATTTTTGAATAAAAAACATTTTTAATCTTCTCCCAATAGTTTCATAAATAAATCAAACAAAGACTAAAACTTAAGAGGACATGTAACGTGTGTTTAAAAGGGTACAAAATCTTTTCCATTTTCCTAGTATATTATTGCTTTTTTTTTTTTTTTTTTTTTTTGAGTAAACGACATTTTCGCACCCAAGGTTTGGCGAATTTGCAAGTTTCCACCCATGATTTCATAAATTCTAGATTCTTACTCTTAAATTAACATCATTAGTTTTTTATTAACATAACCCCCACATCTCAAATTTCTCTCAAATAACCCCCATAAGAGAACACAACCAAGCCAAAAATCTGGCCTGATTTCGACACCATTGGATCTCCTCGACACCACCATTAGCATCCCTTATCCTCCTCACCAAAAACCCTAACTTTTCCACCTGAGTGCACCTCGGCGAAGTGTCGGAATTTGGCTGGAAATGCACAGCAACACGCGAAAAACCTAAGGGAGAAGCAGCTGCAATCAGCGGGCAATTGCGATTGGCGATGTTGGGGGTTTTGGTGGGGGGAAGCTGGTGATGTTATTGGTGGTGTCGGAGGTGGTTTCCAGTGCCGAGAGCTGTCAGAATTTGGATGAAACAGGCAATTGCAACTAAGAGCGGCGACCAGCAATTAGGGGGTTCAATCAGACGAGAAAGTTAGGAGTTTTGATGGGGGTTGAGGGGATTATAATGGTGGTGTTGGGAGGGGTCGACTATGTCGGGAACATGCTGGAATTGCCTGAAATAGCCGGTGGAGTGAATTTGAGAAGTGAAGGGTTATTTTAACATTTTTATCTTTGAAATGACCATTTTACCCTTTTAACTACTAGATTAAACAGTTTTCTATTAATTTAAGGGTGTGAATCTAGAATTTATGAAACTATGGATGGGAACTTGCTGATTTGCCAAACCTTGGGTGGAAAAATGTCGTTTATTTTTTTTCTTTTCTCTCTCTTTTCTTCCTTTTCATTACTTTGTTGTGCAGGAAAATCATGTCACGTGTCCCAAGAATATGCTATTGTTCAACAAACAAATGTATGCCATGTGTCAACCTATCTTGGACTAATGTCACTAATCCCATTTACAAGTCCACATGGTAAAGATCGGCAAAGAGTTAAACTTCAATTACAAGTTTGCTAACGGATTTCTCTCCCTCTCTCTCTCTCTCTCATGTAAGCCCCAAGAATCTTCTTTTTCTACACACATCTCATTGAGAGAAAAGAACAGCTCTTTGTAATTTGTAATCAAAGGGAAAAACACTCAAAGTAATAACATAACAAAGAACATAGGCTTGAGAGTTAACTTATCCAACCTCTTTAAAAATTATTTCTTCCATTATTTTTCTTATATTTTTTGTTGATTATCTGTAATCATATGGCCACTCAACCTGATTTTGTCTAGGTCTATCTCTTTTTCACTTTTGTTTTCATTTATTTATTGTTACGAATCTTTATTATTTTGACTTTCATTAATTTATGGTTGATTGTTACTAATCACGCAGACATCTTACTCAATTTCATCGAGGTCAATTGAGTATCACAGGTTGTTGTGGATTTTTGTAACAACATACTTATTCCTTTCTTTCTTATCTCTATAGTAATACTCTATATAGGCATAACCTCCATATAATCATAAAAAATCATGGTCTCAACTTGGGTTAGTTATAAAAAAGAATAAACTTCATATTATAATAAATTTAATTTTTCTAAAGTTTCGTCTTAAGGAACTTGCCTCCACATAGTAATAATTATTTGTATATTGCAAAAAATATATGTTATGTTACATTAAAAGTTTAAGATGAAATAAAACAGTTATATAAAGTTGTTTGAACTTGCGGGTACGTAATAACTTGCGAGCATGGACACTTTCTTGTTGAAGCCAAAATATTTCTAGGTTTTCAAGCATGTTTAGAGGTTATTGACACGAAACTTTTTGCATTTCTATACTTATCATCTTCATGATTATTTCCTTCATTTTCTTGTCTAATTGCAGTAATGATTTCTTTCTCAATTAAAGAATATACGACTTGTTGCTCATTTGGATGATTGAGGAAGACATTAATATCCATTTAATGGGTTCTCAAGCATGAAGATTGCATGGGTTATGTTACAGTCCAATGTATTTGTAGAATTTATGTTGAAAGAAAAACATTAAAGAGAATGCAAAATTTTACCCCTTGTTTGTTTCACTCTTTCAAATCATTTTTCTATTTTCCTATTTGGATTAAAAAACAAAAATGTGTTTGTTTACTTATTGGGATCATTATTTACTTATTGGGATCGTTGTTTTGAAAATCAATCCAAATCAAATAAGATTTTTTTTATTGAACATGAAAAGTGTGTGGGACTTGTTTTTTATTATCCTATTCTAACAGTTTTTCAACTCTATTCAACTGAAAACAATTACATTCCACAATAAAAAATTTATAAATTAACAAAAACACCCCCACCCACGCAAGCCATTGTCAGCCGCCAGCAACCATCAGCGACCATTGCCATTGCAACTAGTGGTCACCACCAACCATCAGCGACCGCTCAAATCTGGCCGGTCGTACGCCGATCTTACCGCAACCAGATCTATAGCAGGATCCATGGTGGATCTGGCCAGAAACAACAAAATCTATCTGA